GTTTACTTGTGTCTATTTTAATTTTTTTATACAATTTATTGCTGTTGTTTTCTTCTAACGATAAATTATTTATTTATCATTTTTAACACCCAAAGCAGTAAATTTTCATGGTAACCACATCACAAATATACATAAATCACATATTAATAATTATAATTCAATATTAGCAGACCTTGAAATGAGAGTCAGTGTTACACTAAAGACATTGGCCTGTTTATGAAAATACCAAATTTTGTAAGAGATTGAACAGGTTTTTGATTTATCCTAACCAATTACCCAAATGTGATATAAAGTAATAATTATAAACAGTTATAAAACCGCATTTAGGTAGGTGCCATATTAATTAGTTTTTGCCGAAACTTTGTGTAACTTTTTTATTAATTTATTCACCTGCTTAAATAAATCTTTTTTAGATTAAAACAATTTAAATAAATAATATTCAGGACAACAATAACCAACTTCCTTTGGTGAGTGATTATCATCAGTTTGTATAAATAATACATAGGAATATCTAGGGAAAATAATACACTTCAAAGTTGTTAAATATATTTAACAGCAGATATTGTTTACAAATTAGTTGCTTTTAACTACTGTAACTACTAATTTTATTGAAGAAATTGTATGTCATTTACATTTTAATATTAAATGGCAAGAAAACTCACTTTTTTCATCTCAATCTATGAAGAACAAGTACTACGTTTACGTTTTTTTTTAAACGTTGCGCAAAAAAATTCTGCATGATGCAAATGCTTAACAGTGTTTGGTATTACTAATTTTCGAGTTTTAGATGGAAATAGTTTCAGCATTTGACAAATTACAATTTAATTCCTTCCTTTTCTAGTTCATCTTTGTAATCTTTAACATATTGACCTTCGGGATCATACTTCTTTTCCAATTTTTTCCACCAATCCTGTTTATTCTTAATCAAGAAATTAACCACTTTTTTGCTACCTTGCTTTTGCTTATCACTGCAACCGTCACACTTGTGTTTAAGGGCATCGGGTAGAACCTCTGAAAATATAAGTAAGTAAACAATCAATATATTTAAATGTGCTTCCACTTATATAATATTTACGAATAATATATATGTGTGCAAGTTAGAAGCGTTCGAAATGTGGTGTTATAGGCGGATGATGAGGATATCGTGGGTAGAAATGAAGAGGTATTGGAAAGAATAGGAGAACAGAGGACTCTATGGAAGTCAATAAAAAATAGGCGAGATAGGTTGGTAGGATAACTTCTCAGGCATGAAGGTCTAGTCAGAGACATATTAGAGGCAGAAACAGGAGTTAGGAGGGGTAGAGGTAGACCTAGATTAGATTACTCTTCGCAAATAGTTAGAGTCTCCGTCTCTCATCGAGTCTCTTTGGTGTCGCTGAGAGAGACTGTCAAAAAAACGGTTTAGCGTCTCTGAACGAGAGATTCGAGTCGGTCATAGAGAGATCCTCATTTCGTATCCAGTTTCTGAACGAGAGACTCGAATCTCTGAACGAGAGACTCGAATCTCTGAATTAACATTTTATCGTTTGAGTCTCTTATACAGAGACTGTGAGAGATCTATAAAAACACCTAGGCAATAACTGAGAAACTGTGAAAGACTGTGAGAGACGCTCTTATAGACGCTGAAAGACTCTGAGAGACTGGTGAGAGACTGAAATTTTTTTCTAGGGATATTAGCCGTTTTGATAGTAACGATTTGGAATTTTGGATAATATGAACTGCGAAAACACACTACAACTGCGATGGAATTCATTTTGCGACGCTACACATTTTTCCACAACTGCAGATTGTGAGCAAACTAAAGAAGTTGCTCAGTTGCTAGGTGTTATCTGACGTTGAAGACTGCGGAAATACAGGTATCCCTACCTCCAATGTAATGTTAAGGGCTGAGCGAATCAATGATGTATCTTTGCTCATTGACGGAAATAATGATTCGCAAACCATAAATACCTTATATTATCTGAGGAATGAATGATGAGGATACCGTGGATGGAGAAGGTTAGAAATGAAGAGGTGTTAGAGAGAGTAGGAGAACAGGGAAGAGAGAATAGGAGAGATAGGTTAGTAGGACACCTTCTCAGGTATGAAGGTCTAGTCACAGACATATTAGAGGCAGAAACAGGAGTTAGGAGGGGTAGAGGTAGAACTAGATTAGATTACTGTTCGCAAATAGTTAAGGATATGGGTTGTTCTAGTTTTAGGGAAATGCGAAGATTAGCTCAGGATAGGAAAGAGTGGAGGTGTGTATCGAAGCAGTCTCAGGACTGACGACCTTATGATGATGATGATTATCAACCTAAGTTTATTTTTAACTGTCACAGCTTGGTTTGTTTTGTTTAAAAATCAAAGGGCTGCAATTGCTCACATGTTCTTATTAGGGAGACGCCACTGGGTTTTGAATAAACAATTACATACCTTGAAATATTTGGTATAAAAAGTAGTCTGTTCAACTTTAGAATAATGTACATATCTATCTATAAATTTCGAGCTCAGAGTGATCCAAAAATAGCCCTTACAAGCCTATCCTCTTTTCTCGCTGCTTGATGTTTGTTAATTGCTGATTATTTTAAACTAGTTGGAAATTCTAATTGGAGGTGCAACTGCATATTTATTATAATTAATTCTGTCCTTGAATTTACATCCAATTTTCATTAATTTATTCCAAGCTTTAATTGGCAATTCCACTATATGCCATCAGTTTCAGCAGGTACTTACTTAAAATGTGATAACGAGTATTGCAATTCAATGTTACCAAGGAATACTGGGTTTATAAGATAAGCAGCATCGACGAAAATGGTATTTACTTGCATGTACACTTAACATTAAACTCAATGTTATTTGTGAGAAACAGGGCAAGTAGTGAAGATTGTTTACTTACATGAACGGAAAGCGAATTGTTTTCTTTTTTCGTTACTTGAATAATTAATAATTTCGAGGCTACGTAAAGTTCCATGATTTTGGTTTACACAATTTGGCCTTCAAGTCGTTCAAATAATAACTTACTCAGTTCAACTTATAAAAGATATGACCTGACCTCAAATTTTTAGAGAAATATATATTAAATGAGTACAAGTATTCTATTTAGCTGTTTATCAGATTTTTTCCTATCCTGAACTAACCTTCGCATTTCCTTAAAATTACCTCTACCCCTCCTAACCCCCGTTTCTATCTCTAATATGTCTCTGACTAGACCTTCATGCCTGAGAAGGTGTCCTACCAACCTATCTTGCCTATTTATTATTGACTTCCATAGAGTCCTCTGTTTTCCTATTCTATCTTATACCTTTTAATTTTTAACCTTCTCTATCCACGGTATCCTCATAATTAGTCCTGTAACATCTCATTTCAAACGCTTGTAACCTTTTCTTTTCAGCAGCGCCAACCGTCCATGTTTCGCACCCGTACAGCCGCGCTCCAAACATACACCCTCAATAATCTTTCTCGAATTTCTAAATTAACCGTTCGCGAGCATAGAAGTGACTACTTTATATTAAAGGCGACACGACTCTGCGCTATCCTCTGCTTTATATCCTTACTACTCCTTCCGTCCTGACTTATGTGACTTCCTAGATATCTAAAATCAGCCACTTCTTCTAATTTTTCGTCTCCTATCTTTATATTCGCTCTTGCATACCAGTATTTTTGTTTTACTTTTATTTATTTCCATACTGTACTGTTTTGTCAATACCGCTTCTATTTCTTTTAAAGCTACCTCTAACTCCTCCTTGCTACATGCTAAATCTGCAAATCTAAGCATACTAATCTTTTACCCCTGTATGTCTATTCCTACAGTTTAATGATGTTGATCACGTCTTCGATGTATAGATTAAAAAGTAGCGGTGACTCTGTGCATCCCTGTCTGACTCCTTTCCTAATATTTACTTCTCTACGTTGCATCCCCAGCTCTATAACTGCCTGTTGTTCTTTTTACAAACTAAGTATCACTCTTCTATCTTTGTAACTCAACCCTACAATTTTAAGTATATTTAACATCTTGTACCATTTAACATTATCAATAGCTTTTTCTAAATCTACAAATCCTATGTACGCACCCTTTCTTTTTTTTATCGTTTTCTATATTGTTACCCGTAAAGCTAAAATGATCTCCAGCGTTCCTCTATTTCTTCTAAACCAAAATTGATCTTCCCCTAATAGTTCTTCCGCCCTTTCTTCCATCCTCCTCTGTACAATTTTAGTTAAGATAGGAAGTTAAGGTAATTGTCCTAAACGTCTCGCACCTATCCGCGCCTCACCTTTTAGGTATTACTACTACGTTCCGTTTATAATTTTTTGGGACTTCCCCCGTCTTGTAAATGTGACTAACTACCTTATATAATGTTAACAATGGCTAAATTTTTACAAAAGAACAATATCTATAAAGAAAATCGACTTGTAAAATAATTTTTCAGATTTTTATATACCTACTGAAAATTGATAAGAATTTCGCACTTTTATAAGGTATTGAATAACAGGATTATCCAATATATTATTGCTTATTACTGTTCACATTATTACGGTACAAGACATTCTATTTCCTTGAAAATTTGTTCACTTATTTTGCTTACTTTCACTGGAAAATGTAATACGTACTTTAGTACAATAAAGAATTGTACAATTAATTGTTAGTAACAACAGCTTCTTACTAGATATTTATGATTATAGTGACATACTAAACTTTAAAGCAAAAAACTTTTTAACTTTCTAGAAATTATCGGTATTTAGTTATGTAAAATATCCCAGTAATTCTTACTATAACGTGCTGTCGATTTCGGAAAAACAAGGAAAGGAACAAAATGCTTTCAGTACTGGTTCTCAGTAACAGGTATCCCTAAAACGTTCATAGTTGGATACAGTTGGAACGTTCAAAATTGGCATAGTCGGCAATAAAACTGCGCACATTTACTTTCTTCTTTCAACTTACTAACTAGACTAGAGCGGTTGCTGACAAAACGCCTACTTTTACTCACGACAGACGTTGTAAGGAATATCGCAAACATAGAAAAGAGATGTCAGGTAGGAATTGCAGCGGACACTAATAAAGAAAAAGGAATAACATTATACTAAGTAATGTGTAACAGAAAGAGACGCAGGCAAGCAGAAAAAGAGCATGTTGCCCAGCATCGGAAAATTAAACAATAAAATAAACAACAAAAATGAAATCGTGGGGTTAAAATAAATAACAACCACAGTTATGAACAACTGTATTTATTTACAATGACACAGAGTCGATGAGAGAAAACTGGGAAGACTGTTAGTGTGGAGAACGGGCGTATATGTACAAACTAGGGTTTACACAAAAACCGACATTTTAGAAAACCGGTTTTTGAATATATAATTTTTCCAGAAAACCGGTTTTAACCGGTTTCGAATTTTTATAAAAAAATATACTCGAATATTCTGTAATTCGAAACAAAAAATTTTAACAGAAAATTTACAGTGATTAAACGCAGTTTTTGACTGAAATTATTTACTGTTCAATTTTATTGATTTTTTTATGCAATTTAGTAGAACAAAGAAATAACAGTTGACCAGGATTAAATAACTTTAAAAACAATTATTCGTTGTTTATGCATAATTTTCACATATAAGGATGTAAATATTTTTATAATAGTGAAACGAGTTTTTCAACAAAGGGTTCGAATAAATAAAAACAATATATTTTCATATTTTTATAATAACCGTAGATACTTTTTTTTTAAAAAACAATGTTATTAGATACAGATGGATACTTATTAAAAACAATTAGAAAATATACAACTGTGTATTATATAATGTAAATTATAATCAAAGCCGAAAGACAAGAGTAAATAAAGTTTATGCATACATACTTATTAAAATCATTTTTAGTTTTAAAGACAATTAAGCAAAGGACCAAGTATTTTCTATTCCGGGCAATTTTAATACAAATTTAAATATTCTATTTATTTTTTTGTTTAATGAAATATGATTTCAGAAAACAGAGGACGTCTATCGATTTGCTATTTAGCCGTGTCCTTAGTTTATTCACAAAA